TGTACACAGTGAAGCCGCCTTCCGAGGAAGCAATTGAGGCGGATGAGCGATTTCGAAGGAAAGCAAGGGTTGTTGCATGTGGCAATATGATGGCTGATTCGGGCGAAGAGACCTATGCAGCAGCGACACCAGCAGAGGTTGTAAGGTCATCTATGTCGACGATCTGTTGGTAATTTGCTCAACACCAGCAATTATCAAGGCAGTTTCTGAGGCTGTTCGGTCTCTGTTGGAAACCAGTGCGTTGTCATGGGCATCAGATGGTGGGATACGATTTCTGGGAATCGAGATTGTGAAGATTGATGGGGGGGTTTGCGTTGAATCAGGAGCCCTACATCAATGAGTTGACCAGAATCCATTCTATTCCCACTACTCAGAGGGATCTGATCCCAGTTGCCCGAGAACCGGCGAGCTTCATTGCCGAGCTTTTGAACTTCGCCAGAGATTTTGCCTGCCGTGTTTTGAATTTGTTATGTTTTGAGTTGGCGCGTGCGTGTGCGTACCCCATTCTCAATTTGTAGCATTGCAGTATTACCTACCTATGCCTATGCGGGGCTCCACAACAGTACACAACCAGACATACAATCGCAGGACTTTACTTCTTGCAAACTGGGAACATGTACATACATATGATTTGTGAGGTGCCGTAGCACACATTGTGTAATTGTCCGTATGTAATTACTCAAGTCAGTGAGTAGTGTGTTTGCATTGCACTTTAGTTTCTGTTGTAATGCAGTATCATTGGTTTTGGAACTTAAGAAGGGTTTCACAGCGATACATAGTTGCAATGACAATGGCACTACTCTATATATGTAGGTGTGGGTGTGTTTGTACATATACACATACATACATACATACATACATACATACAGACATACATATATATATACAAGCATACATACAGACATGCATACACACACACATATGTACATACATATATTTATATATATCTCATATTGTTACATACAGTACATACATGCCACGTAGGTTAACGTCCAAGTAAAGAGTGTAATTTCCCAGTAAACTGCTGTAATGTTGGTATGATCAATGTCGGACGTTGGCAGAATGTATTTTTTATTCTATCGTGAATTTCTGTTAAATGTCGGGAGTGTCGAGATCAGGCTCCCAGGAATGCTTTTGGTCCAGGCTGCTGTATGCCTTCCATCCGTACGACGATCATTGATGGACACCCCCACGGTCTTCTCACAGCCTGGTAGCTTGAACGCTTTTATAAACAGCTCATGTGCCCCTGAACAAACCATACCATGTGTTCCCAAGCAGGGAAGGGTGTTATTTTACAGCTTGTCCACAAAGCATAAACTCTTGCACTTCAGATGCAGAAGACACCGTAAATACCAATGCTTTTCACAACATCAGCGAACGAGGTCGTGTGGTAATTATGCACCAAGGAGGGTAAGCAAAGTGGTCAAGTTTGTGGTTTGTGGGAAATGGTGCCAGCGGACGTTGGTTTTTGGTTGTTTGGTGCGTCGTGATTGGGATTAGGGGTTGGGGATGCCAAAACACAAAAATAAGCTGATGAAGTCGGTAACAACATGCAACATACAACATGTAAGGTTACATCACAACAAAACCTTAAACAGAACAGATTATGGAACCATTCACAAACCAGGTTTGTGAATGGGACCATCGAACCATGATAAAAGAAGATGAACGCCTGCGCTACCGTTAAACCTGCCTTTTCACAAACGCCGGCCCTGCGGTAGCCCTTTTTTTGTACTATTACTACTACTACTACTACTACTACTACTACTACTACTGCTACTGCTACTGCTACTACTGCTACTACTGCTACCACCATCACAGTTGCTGCCACCTCGATCACGACGACGGTAACGACTAAAACTACTACTGCGGGTGCTCGTTTTGCTGTCACTAAGAGGCTAAAGACATGTTGTAAGGCTGGGGTTCAGTGTTCAGATGCGCCAGTAGGGCTCATCGGGTCAGGTCTAAGGCTCTGGCGCCGGGCAGGCTCATGCTGCACTGGTCCGGCGTCTGCGAGAAGGCGGTGAACCAACGAACTCCAAGGCTCATTCTCTGCGCCTTCATGTCGTTGTGTATTGTCTGCATCTCACCGATGGCCTTGCGGCTGCGGCGCAGGTCTTGGTGTATGTGTGCACGGCTCGAATCCAAGTGCTGCCCATCCACATGGAAGCACGGTCGTGATGTTTTTGTATTTCATTCACGCATCCATGTACTTGAGGCGATGAGTTACTGTGGCGGACACGGAGATAGGCTAAACGGGATGCTCAGTGCGGAGCTTGGCCAGCAGCCAAGACAAAGAAACACTGGCTGACTTGCCCAAAGCCCAAGGTGCCTTTGTCGTCGCCCTCTTGTCGGACAGAGCATTTTTCATCGACTCGCAGCGCCCTGTGCCGCTGAGCATGGCCTTGTCCTCAGCCACGTCAGCCAGGCAAAACGCGGACTAAGTCGGTGGGGCCGACGGCATAGCTCTGCCAACACCGCAGGTTTTGCAGCCGAGACCCGGCGGACTTGATTGGCGAATGTTTGGTTCCCATGCAGCGCTGCCGGAGCGAGCCCCAAAGCAGAGCGAAGCGTAGAAGCGCAGCTCTGGTCAGCCAGGCCGGCTTCAACCTGAACGACAACTTGGCGGCCTTCGAGCAAAATCCACGTAGCGTGGAAAGCTGAGCTGTGCTGAGCTGCGCCGAGAGCGCTCTCTGTGCTCTCTGTCTTAGCTCAGTATGCCCATTGGGAGCCTGGCCGTAGAAGGTCTTGGAGAGCCAGGAGAAGGTGATCAGGCTTGTTTCCAATCAGCGCCGATCGCTCAGTGACCATGCAGGCTGCAGTGACCTTGCTTTCGCTGGCAGACTAGAGAAACTAGAGCTTCAAAGAAAAGTCGCTGAAATCAAGGTCTGACTGCTGCTGCACTGCATGCGTCAGGGCAGCGAGCAGACAGTCTAGGCGAGGCCAGGGCGAGGCGGCGAGGTCTGTGGTTCGTTTCTATGGCCTTTCTGAGAACGAGAACAGAGGGTGCTAGGGCCTGGCAGATGTCATAGCTGTCCCATGCATGTCCTGGATCTAGGTTTGAGCCGTCAGCCAGCACTTCACTCGCATCTTTTTCAGATGCTCTTCGTGCCGTGCGACGCTTGGGAACAGCATGTATCGCTGATCACACGACCACCACAGTCCATCGCCGCACAGGTCTCCAGCTCTGCAAGCGCGCCTGAACGCGCGTGATCTGCCGGCAGGCCGCCGCATAGGCTGGATTTAGGACGGCAGCTTCTTTGACATGTTTCGACGACTCACTGGACGATTTGGCAGTCGAGTCGCAAGAGCAGCATCTGAAGGCTTGCACTTCCGAGCGGGTGATCAAATGCCACAGAACTGGAAGGATGCTCCGGGTGTTTGCAGTAGAAAGTCTCTGAAGACATCTGAAGAGGCCGAAGCTTTCTTTGTTTTGCGCCCAGGACCCTCCGCGCCACCCGCTCTCGGAGCTGGAGCGGCGACCAACGAAGAGGCGGGGAAAAGCCTCAGCCTGTCGCGCGAGTCTCCAAGCAGGACGAGTTCCTGGACTGCGCGGAGAGCCTTGAGAAGGATTATGGCCTTGCTCTGAGTCCCGAGTGTTAGAAGGACGCTGTCGAGCGTTTAAGCCTAGCATAGCTTGACCTTGCGTGGTGAGGCTGGGATGCAACGTTCATCCTCTTTGCTGATACGGACAAAGTGCTGTCGATTCTCCGTGTCCAGGACTGAATAGTGTCTCGCATGGCATAAGCATTCGTGGGGCTTCAGTTCTACTGGGACGGTAGATGACGGTAGTGCACCTCTGCGATTCTTCTGGTGCTCACCGCCCATTCGGACCTTCGTAGTTTCCTGAAGCCGATTAAATTTGTGTCAGTGTCCTCCCCTGTGTCGTGTGGCTTTGCCCGATGGCGACCAGACATTATCTTCGGAGCGCTGTCGCAGGAGCTCATGTCCGCGGGAAAGCTGGTACATTGCCCAGCTTGCTCAGAGGCTGGAGGTCCTCTCGCAACTTGGCTGTGACATCGAGGTCTGGCCCAGTGAGCCTGATGGCCTTGTGCATTTGGTGATGCCCTCAGCGACATTCTAGACTCTGGCATGGCGACATACCCGTACGTTGCTTCCCCTCATAACGTCCGTCTATTGCAAACAATGCCAGCCAGGACCGATCACCGGCGACACTTACCGCCAGTGCCTAACGGGAAAGATACAAGTCGCGTGGCATCTGAATCTATTCCAGCCTTTTGCGATCGCTTTGCAGGTCCGAGGGCTCCTTCAGACTTGGTCAGACTGGTGGACCTTGGCTTTTGATGTTGATGCCTTGGTCCTCTGCCACAGCGGCCGGGACCTTATCCGGCCAAGACCAGCCTCAGCTTTCTTGTGCACATCGTCACGTGCTCTCGCTCGAGTCGAGGCTTCGGCGCGACAGCTTTGGAGATTGGTCAGAGACGCCCTGCTGCGATGTCCCCAGCACGGAATTTGCGGATGAGCATGTAAGGTGCAGGCCGGCAAAGGCTCTACCTGAACCTGGATCTTTGGATGTTCAAGCAGCCATGGCTGCATTGCTCACCGATCATGTAGGAGCCGACATGTTTCGCAAGGTCATCGGACGTGGATGCGTGCCTGCAGACGGAACCACCGGCCCGATGCTTACTTGCAACCTGCGCAGGGACCCCACCGCATCTCGTTGTGCAGGCGTTGTGACTCAGCCAGCTCTTGTGTGCTCAACATGCCCAGGGTGACACTCGCTGTGCCAACTTCCAGAAGCCAGGTGCAAAAAGATAAACGAGCCTTGAGTCATAGCTGCGACTCGTGCCTGTGGTCCAGCGTGGTTCCGACACGACTGTAACCACCGTAGCCGTAGCCTCTCTAGACCCTAGGCGACCTGCTTCTACAGTTGGAGGTTTCGTAGGCATGTTCCAACCAGTGTCGAATATCTGGCCTCTTTACACCCTCGGATTTAGAGCCGTCCGATTCCAATTCGGGCGTGCAGTCATGGACGCTCGATGTTGCAATCCTTGGCAACCTTTGGTGCCGGCGTATTCACGGGGCAGGGCCTGCAGACCTGCCACGCATCGCTTCCCCAGTGCAGCCTCGGCGAACAGGCCCTTAGCCTTTCCGCTTGCCTCGTCGTCTTTAGAGCGTCCGGCGCGTCCAGAGAGAGCTGTGAGGACCGGGCCCGGCTGTTGCTGCGCTGCCACGGTGCCCAAATCCCTTCGTTGCCGGCACCTGGCGTCCTCTCGCGGCAGCGGCCGCAGCTCAGCATCCGTCTTGGTGCCACGGAGAGGCAGACCGAGCCTCGCTAGCACAGAACCTAGCGGAACTCTAGGAATGCCCAGAAAAATGCTAAGGTCTTCTGTGCATAACGCTTGATCTGTGTACTAATAGGCACCAGTAGAGGCCAGTACTTGCAAGTGCAAAGCTGCAAAGTTTGGTATTCCAGATCTATGCACGTGCTGAGGGGCCGGGAGATTTTATGGAGAGCGACACGTTGTCCGGGGTGCCGGAGTGTAATTGGCGCTTCGGGGATGTGATGACGTTTCTCGTCACCGTCGACGACGTGCTCAGGGAGGGCGGCTTGCGCTTTAGCCTGCTGTCGAAAACGGACTTCCGATTCGGACCTCTGCAAATGGAGTTGGCGCAGACCGTGGAGTTGGGCGCGGGAGCCCTGGACTTGAGGGATGCTTTGCTGACATGTGCACCCGTACAGTCGCGGTCGCCGTTTGCCGAGCCCTCGACGGCTCGCTGCTGGGATTCGCCCGTGCTGCGAATTGATTTCATTCAGATGCAGTCTGCCTGTCCCCTGGACATTGCCGCCACAGCATTCGTGTCCGTTACCTACTTCGGGGATCCGTCGTCGCTTCTTCAGAAAGCCGAGAAGGCCGACAAGCCACTACTGAAAAGGATAGCAGGCCCTTGCCTTGATCCCTGTCACTGGGCAGATCCCGATGCTCAAGGGAGTGTGATTCCAAGCTTTGCTGAGCCAGATTCAGAACAGCCACCTGATTCGGAGTACACCACCTGCGAAGTGCCCTCCTTCCTTTACAACAGCTGGTTACCGGAAGCAGGGTCTTTCCCAAGAGTGGCATCTCCAGCTGGGCGTGCAAAACACTTTGTTTGGCCAGGACCTGGGAGTCGGGGGTGTCGACGTGAATGAAGCACAAGTGCACAAGTTTCAAGCCTTGTGCGACTTTACCGCGTCTGGGATCCCAACAGGAGCGCACAGCCGCGATGCCGAGATGCTGCGCACCACTGGGTTGAAGGGCTTCGCCGCTGGGAAGCAAGGCCACCCTCAGCAGAATTGTCAGAGCGTATCAGAGTCCCGAATTCATTCTTCGGAAGGCATTCAGAAGTCCCAAGATGGCCTCAGCCCTTCGACTTCGTTGCCTCAACCTCTCGTCGTCAAGCTCCGGCTGCAGCAGCCCGCCCCTGGGCCTGAAATGTCTGGAGTATTCTGGAGTGTGGCCAATGCCTGGTTAGTGTTCTTGTGCACACTGCATACTTTTTTTTGCCCGGGCCAGGTGCCTTCCACGAAGCTTGAATCGGATGGTGTGCCGACGTGAAGCAAAACGGGCGGTTGCCATGTGGAACATGTGAAGGGCTTCATATTTGCCAGGCATCACAGCTAGCTGTTGTCAGTCTTGGAGACACTGTGGTCGCAGTGGATCAAGACACACTCAACATTGCATACATTTTGTGTCGGACACCATTCTTGCTTGAGTGATGTGTCGGGACGAACCTGCTTCATTGTCTCCGTGGCAGGCAAAGGTGTGCTGAAAGGTATCATTCTGCTTTTGGATTCGCTGATGGCTTTGTGCACGGTTGAAGCATTTAGCTTCAAGAGATGGTATGACTATGCACAATGGTCTTTCTGCACCAACCATGGGCGGATGAAGCAAGTGGCATCCTGGGGTTGACATAGTTGACGTTGTACGGGCGGACTCTCGTAGGTAATCCTTGCAAGCAGGATCTTGGACGAAAGTGTCACGAGCAGAGAACTGAAATACAGTCAAGCCATTCTCCCAGTAGCGGTGGCTTTGTTGACCAACTGATACCATCTGCTTTTCGCTTCATGACTTCAATTACAAGATCTTCCATCTCGCGCGTTTGCAGTGAGCTTCTCAGCGTTTCCAAAGCTGCAACCCTGGTTATCTTGGCCCGTGCTTGTGCTTCGGAGAGGTTCTGCCCCCAGAAGGCTGGCTGCGACCGTGCCTCTTCATCGCAGTTCAGGAGTTCAGGGAGTCATAGCAGTGCTTTTCCGGCATGCTCAATTTCCCTTCAGATGTCTGAAGAAATGCCGGGGTGTGGTGCTGCTCCAGGACTGTCCACGTCGCAGGCCAAAAGACGGGCTTCCACCGCAAATCTCGTTCGGTCCTCCTTGCATGATTTTGATTCGGAGTGGAGGAACTGATGGGCTCTGTTGGCATGAAAGCTGGACCGAGGCCGGGCGAGGTTTGGGGTGGACCCATTTCCGAGAAAGTCGGCCGATACCCGAGATGGCTTGAAGCATGACTTGCATTGATTGCCTCATGGCACACGGATGTAGACACAAGCTTTCAGTCCCAGTCCCGGTCCTCGAGGATCAGCACCTTTAGATTGGAAGAGCCTCGGCTTCGAGTACATCCCGACCAAGTCCCACATTCGTGCGCAGCCATAGAGATGCTTTTTGTCATGCGTCAGTTCTGCTGCTGAAGTCTCAGCATGATGCTAAGGCTTTGTGAGTCTAGCATGTTTACTGAAGTGATTAGCTGGAGACTCTGATGCATTGCTGTGTCACATGCCAGACCTGGAAGAACGGGGAGTGGAACACTGGCCACACATTCAGGGATCCGTGCGATGCTGAGCATCCAATGCAGCGGCAAGTCAGGCTTGAACCAATATGGCAAGTGGTTTGGTGTAGGTTCTGCAGAGGTACTTACCCGTTCACATGCTTGCCAATGTCTTCCACTATGGCCAAGCTCTCTTCGAAGGCTTTAAAGGCTTGGGCCTAAATTCAGTTGTCACCCAATAATGCTGAATAACATACAATTTAGTTGTGCAAAGAGCTTGGTTCATTGCCCCGTGGCAGGCTTCCATACAAAGCAAGGTGATGTATGCCTGTTTGCAGACCGGTTGTGGCTCCCTCAGCAGTCCAACACGTGAACCATGGAAAACAAAAGGGCACATTCAGAAATGCAGGAGCTGGGCGCGCATGAACCACGGATGTCGACGCTTCCGAATACCGGAGGCGGCCCTTGCTCTGTGGTAGATGTTGCTCCTGCTAGAGCGCATCTCCTTTGCAGTATCTCGCCGTGTGTCCACTGGTCCTCTCCACCAACACCTTTATTGCTTAGTGGTACAGTAGTGTTTCTGAAGGTGCCTGTGCAAGTTTGGGATCGAGCTGTTCACGATGCGGCGGCCCCCTTACCGAGAAACCTCAGCCCGAGCGGCCAAAGATGGCAGACAGTTCTGACTGGACTCAAGCAAGCACATTTAGGTCAAGGACAATGTTGCCTACGTGCCACCGCATGGTGCGCCGGGGAAACAAGCCTTTTGCAGAGCCAGTAGTTACAGTGCTACGCTGCATCAAACTAGATGACACCGGGCCCGGTCCTTTTTGCATGCTTAGTCCGGCTTGCTAGTCATTCAGAACTCATAGCTTGGAAATGCTGGTTCTGAAGCCTCTTGAAAAGCTGTTGCAGCACAGATAGTTGCAAGCATCGTCCGCTTGTACTTGCTACTGCATTTTCACGATTTGCTTGCCGTTTTGCTGACCACAGTTCCAACTTTCGATAACCTCCGACAGCTGTGTGACACACTGTGTGAGGAACCAACGGAGCTCTTTATGTTCGCCCCTTCATCTTCGGGAGCGGTCCAAGGCTTGACCGGCCAAAATACGAGCGTGGGAGGCCTCGACCTTGAAGAGGCTTGGCCTGGGCCCTTCCCCGGAGTACACCTTCGTGGTCTTCGTGAACCCGGCTCGGCACTAAGTTTGCAACGCTGCAGAGACATTTTGAGAGCTGCACGAAAGGTTGGCAGCTACTACAAGAACGAGGAGGGAGCAATGCAAGCGCAATGCTCAGCTGCGTAAGCGACGCGAATCGAACAAAAGTGTGTGGTATGGGATTGATGGCTAGACGGTCTTTGAGAGCTTCTCATGCATCCGATTCCTCGTAATCTCCTGCCGGCAGGCCCTGGATGGGCTTGTGAATGACTCTTACGACCGAGCTGCACCTCTTGGGCGTCGTGGTCGCAGATTCTATCTCCAGATAGGGCAATACAGACCGCTTTTGACAGGTGTGGAGATTGCAAAGCTGCTGGGAACTATGCTGCTGACCTCGAGAGTATGTACACATCGAAAAGGACCAATGCTTTGTGCCCAAGCATGTGGTGGACTTGTGTCGCTAGGCTGCAGGTTTTGCTCGAGCGCTTGTGACAGGAAGGGCTATCCTATCAGCCTGTACCTGGATGCTGTGGAGAGACGGTACATCGAGGAGTTCAACACCTCGAATTTCGTGGCCATCACGAAGGACGCCGTGAAGTTCATGTCTTCGTGGCGGCTTTTTCGTAGACTGGTTTTCACCAGGACGGGAAGTACATCACTCCAGACGCTCCCCGGAGCGTCTTGAATAGCAACACAAACAAGGCTGATGGGGATACTAGTACGAAACGTCACCTTCAAGTCCACGCAAGTGAGCAGTGCAACATAGCGAGCAGGTGTTGCTGCAGCTTGCCGACGACATGTCAATTCCGGTAGAGCTTGACACTGAGAGAGCTGCTGACACAAAGTTTTGTCAGATTGGACACCGCATCAGTGCGCAGGCGCCGTCGCATCGACTTTGAAGCTGAGGCGCACAACAGCATAGCAGCATAGTGGTCAATACAAATCCATTGAACTTCCTCCGACTTGTCGTTAAATCTATCCATTCCTCTTTATTCTGCTGGCTTCCAGGTTGACAACTTCGCAGAAGTCGGAGCTGTTGGCACTGCTGTCGTTGTCACGCCCATTCGGTGCGCGTCTCGGATGTGTGCAGCGGCTGCGAAAGTCAGAGCATGCTCCGAGTGTGTAGATTCCTTTGACACAGATATCAGAGAGGGCGCACAGGGCACCGTGCACTTTGCTGAACTTTGCTGCTGATGTTTTCAACTGAACTGGCAAAATGTCAGAGGGCAGGCATGTACATTGATGTTGCGTTTAAGTCTTGTGGTCCATGCCAAGGTCCTTGACACGTGGAGATCGGACTTGGAATTTTCAAGAGCCTCAGGCCATCTCCTGTAGACTTGGCGGAGCCCACATGTTGCAAGCAGAATTGGTTCGGAGCTATGGTGGACTTGCATGGACTTGTTAATCTTGTTATCTTGCGAGGTCCTACGCCAGCTGCGAAACAGGCTCCCTTCGACTGAGTTCCGTGGAGTTCTTTGGTTCCCAGAATTGCCATGACTGGTGTGTCGCAGGGTACGGGCGATCCAAAACGGCGAGGTCAAAGACCCGTGTGGTACCAAGGGCTATTCCTTTCTGCAACGCCGGGCTTAGCAGACAAAGTGTTGGTTTGGAAAGCACGGCCAGTGTGCTGCCAGAGTCACTTGCCGAGTCATGGCTGGATGCGGCGAGTGCAGCTAGAAGACGTCGGGGCCCAACTTTGCATTGCGGGGTCCTGGCGGAGGCTGGCGAACGACCTGAAGACGCATCCGCGTTGTGAAGACACATTCGTCCAAAACGGTGTAATAGGCGCAGATGCATTAGCCGCCGCAGACGCATTCTGAAGCCGCATTGGGTGAAGACACTTTATGCATTGAGAGGCGCAGGCGCATGTTGAAGAAGCATTGGGTGGCGCAGACACATTGCGAAGACGCATCGGGTGGCACACACATTGCGAAGACACATTAGAAGGCGCATTGCGAAAACACGTCGGGTAGGGGAAGACGCGTTGGTTTCAGAAGACACATTGCGACGCTACGGCCCAGGTAGGCGCAGACGCATTGCGAAGCTGCTTTCGCGACATAACGGCCACGAACAAAATGCGGGGACAGGTTCGCGTGCATGACTCGCATGGCATATGCTTGAGCGTTGGGTCTCGCAAGAGATCTGATGTTGAAATCATGGGCTGTCCATCAGTCCAAGGCTCCATCCTGGGAGATCCAAGTTTGTGAGATAGTGTGGGTCCAACAGTCCATTGATTGCTTGGCCACCAGGACCAAAACAACCCACCCCCCAACTCCTGCTCCGTAGGTGCTCCTTATTGAGGGGAGGAGCACGTATGAACATTGCTGAATTTGTATCTTCGGTCAGAAGTACCGTAGGCGTCCTCATTAGAGCTTGGTTAGAGCCCACATTGCGTGCGGAAAGTCCATGAGTCCAAGGCTTCACCCTCGGACTTCAAGTTTTGTAAGAGTTCTGCTTTAAAACGCCAGGGGCGCCCCATCAGTTCATGGCTCCATCCCCGGAGTGCAAGGTTCGCAAGAGTTATGATTTCGAAATCAGCGGTGCCCATCAGTCCAAGGCTCAACTCTTGCAGCTCAAAGTTTGTAAGAGTTGTGATTTACAAACCAGGGGTGCCCCATCAGTTCGAGGGTTTCAAAAGTTCTGACTTTCAGATCAACGGGTGCCACCTGTCCAAGGCTCTATCCCTGGACGTTCAAGGTTTGTAAGAGTTCTTTTTAAATCAAGGGCACCCCATCAGTCCAAGGCTCCACCCTCGGAGTTCAAGTTTTGTAGGAGTTCCGATTAAAAAGTCAGGGGCGCCCCATCAGTCCAAGGCTCCATCCTCGGAGTTCAAATTTCGTGAGAGTTGTGATTTAAAAATCAGGAGCGCCCCATCAGTCCAAGGTTCTACCCTCGGCATTCAAGGGTTGTAAGAGTTCTGATTAAAAAGCACTGGAGCCCAATCAGTCCAAGGCTTCACTCGGAGTTCAAGCTTTGTAAGAGTTCTGATTTACAAAAAAAGCAAGGCGCCCCATCAGTCCAAGGCTCCATCCTCGGAGTTCAAGGTTTGTAAGAGTCTTTGGAAAAACACGGGTGCCCCATCAGTCCAAGGCTCCACCCTCGGAGTTCGAGGAGATTTAAAGATCAGCGGTGCACCACCCCCAGAGTTCAAGGTTGGTAAGAGTTCTGATATAAAAATCACGAGCACCCCATCAGTCCAAGGGATAAGTGCTCGATCGATGTTGAAGTTCCCTCTGATCTTTCTGTTTCTCATATGGCTTATGAAAGGACTGCAGGAGCTGCTGCCGGCGGAGGTCACAAAGACCCACTGTTGCAAGCCTTTTGCCAGTGAGCAGCAAACTGCACAAAGCCACTCGGATTATACATTCAGCGCAAGCAAGGATCGGGGCGGAATCAGCACAACCGGCGCATTTCGGAGCAAACGGCGCAATTCAACGCAGTTCGGCGCAATCAGTCCAATTCAGCACAATTCGGTGCAATCAGCGCGAGTCGGCGCATTCAGCGCAAACCTGAAGAAGAGAATCCTCACATAAACCTCGATGAATCCAAGGAGCCTTTGAGTTCAAAGCCCTTTCGAAGTCCCGCCGACGTGTTCTTAGAACGTTGGGACGTTAAGTGGGAGCCGAAACTGCTTGCTTCGGCCACCGCCGGAAATAGTACCATGCGGAGCATTGCTTGCATTGCGTGTATCAGGACATGTCCAAAGCCTCGGCGCCCGCGGTGTGTGTATGCGTTGTCAGAACAGAGCCGCGGCGTCACGGCCCAACTCGGCGTCACCACCTATTGCGGCGTCACCAATCCGGCGTCATCATTTAATGCAGCGTCAGCAATTCGGCGGCGTCACTACTTAATAGCGTCAGCAATTCGGCGTCACCACCCAATGAGGCATCAGGAAAGAGTTCGGCTTCACGACACAATTTGGCGTCATGGGACAATTCGGCGTCTGACAATGTCAGTGGCGTCACCTGAAGCAACGCGGTTTCAGGAATTCGCGTTCGGCTTCAGGTCGTTTGCCACACTCCCCCAAGCGTCGCCCGCCATATTCGGGACGCTGTTGTGTATAACCTGAGCCATGGATGTTGGATGGTGCCGAGGCACCGCCACAGTCGTTCCTCAGCGTTTACCCAGGTCGGCATAGATGTGGTTGCTGATGTGGAAGTGTAGCCGTATCCTTTCTTCTCTGCTTCGGAGCCGGCGAATTTCTGCAGCAGTGCCTTGCAAGGTCTTTGACATTGCAAATCCATCGGGATGAGGTCCATCCCAGCAGTGTAATTACCTGACAACGTGGTATGTGCACAGATTGTTGTGTTGGCAGGTTTCAGTTCTTTCTGAGGGATTTTAATTTTTTTGAGAAGTCTCTTCGAATTCGTTTTGGCATTGCACGGCTTTTGCTCATTGGCACGGCTTCAGAGAAGCCCAATTCGCGTCGTTTTCACGGGCGGCAGCGGCGGCATCCGGACGGTTGGTCCACCGCCAATATTCGCAGAAGTTACAGCAGTTCACCAACTGTTATGGTGGCCGTAACTTTAGCTACGTTTCCTGTGGTCTACCATGCTTTGCGAAATGAGAGCCGGAGAGAATTAGAAGCAAACCTGATTGAATCAGTTGAAATCAGTTGAATGTATGCACCGCAGCAACGATGCCATGTTGTTTTCGAGCTTTCAGGCTGGGTCGCAAGCAAACAGACATCGTATCTCCTGAAGTACTGTGTCGGCATTCCCTGATGCGCGTGTCGACAGCAGCAGCAGCAGATCGAAGATTGGAGTGCCAAACCTTCTAGAGCTCGCATTTGCGAATCTCCAGGAAGTGCTTAATATGTACATATCAACCAAGCAGTTGTTTATTCACCTCAGCCATGTCGCTTTTTGCGGCGAGTCCGACCCTCGGCAACCTATCTCTCGGATGTGTGGGTCAATGCTTACCCACCAAAGCATGAGCGCGCGCGTTGCAAAGGCTTCGATACGCTGAAGAAGCGGACCACGCAGCTATTGGATAATCTGGACAAGCAAAAGGACCGAGCTGGGCCGGTTTTCCTTATTGAGCCGCACTTGGCTGAGGGCGATTTTTGATTTCGCGCTTGTCAGGATGACAAGAGCGCGCCGGAGACACAGGTAGCGGCTTTCCCAGGGCTCCCACCAGCATGCTAGTATTTCTTCGTTATTGCAAAGTGCCTGTTGAGAAGGATCTATCTCCTTCAGGCAGCTTGCAGAACTCGTTTCTCCTTCCCATCTCTGATCCTGCTGTGGGGTGGCGGTTTTGGCGTTGACTCCGCAGTGCCGATGAGGGTTGTCAAAGTACATGTGATGTTGCTCTTTCTTCAGATAAGCGTTGGGGATATGCATGCGCTCATTGTCTCAAGTTTTGGTAACACTCTCCCCATCCCCTCTCAAACGATCAGCTATTCGTCGCTATCTAACAAGTCAGAAGTACCGGCAGCTTGAGAACACAAGGAGCAACGCGCAGCAAAATACAACAGCCCAGACTTCAAAGCTCCCCGGTTGTCTCAGCCGACCGCAGTCAACCCTTTGTTGAAGCAAAGGCGAAGATGCAAGGATTCCAGGTGAGCCTAACTTGAACTGCCTGGTGCAGGACTTTGGCATCGACATTCCGTATCCTCAGGTGGCGGGACATGTCTTAGATTCGTTGAAGTTGCGGCAAAGTGGATGTATTGCAACCTTAACCATGCGACTGTAGTTTGCGTGCATGGCATCAGACTCGAGGCTTATGCTGCAAAGGCACAATGCCTTACATGCTAGCATAAACCTCAAGCAGTGCAAGGTCACCAAGCAATCCAGACCCGAGAGCCGCAATAACAGATTCTTTGAGCCGGCAACAGGAGTCGCAAGCAATGTGCGCACTGTGGGGGGAGCGTGATTTCGGGCGGTGGGGCAGAAGACCAAGCGCACTCCAAACACACAAGTCAAAGTGACGTGAGCCAAATTTCGAGTTCGCGACAAGGCTAGATTCCTTTGAATGACGGAATTTCGAGAGCGCACCAAGCAGCTCAGAGGATACGGAGAGCGTGGCTTTGCTACCAGATCCGTTAGGACTTCAGCGACTTCGAGCGCTTGGAAGGCAAGACGACTGTCGCCGGAGTACGATTTCCGTCAATTTCCGCCCAGACGTCCACACGGCACTGTGGCTTTTCCCGCGATATTCGCCCGCCAAAGAGGGAGCCACGGGACCTCGCGTTGCCACCTGGACTAGTCTTTCCCTCCCTGCACTTGGGAGTACAACCCCTCTGTGTAATGGCACGATTTTGGGAAAACATCTGCAGCATGTCCGAGCCTGGTCTTCTTTGATCAGGTGGCTGCAGCAATGGGCTGTCGTGAGGACAACATCCTCGTGAGCTACGAGGCCGGCTCCGGATACACTTCGTGACCTTGTCGTGCTGACCACTTCAGGTTCAGAACGACGCCAAGGACCGCGAAATGGCCCTGTACGTAATGCCCCTGGGAGCACCCGGCTTGGTTTGTGAACAGCACGAAGGCTGAGGCCTGTGATGCTTGTAGGACCCTCATGAGATGGGGCCAGGAAAGGCTTGCAGGGCAGTGCCACATCTAAGCTAGAGGGGTCAGACAGAGCTACGTGAGTCATTGGTTGTGCATTGGGATTTGGGGGAGGGTTCAATTTGGAGCTTTCTGTGTCTCATGAACCATTTGGCACTGCCAGGAGGTGCAATCAGTGTCACAGTCGCGATGGTCCGCCACCTTTCATGTGGATCACAGCGGGTGCTGCATGCGTTCCCGCACCTGTATTGCTGTATGATACATTCAGGTGCGGGCTTCGTTTCCATTGCCTGGCAATTACCATCTTCGATTCAAGGCGCTAGAAAGAGTCACGGTCGGACTTCAGAACCTCTCAAAATCCCCCGTTTCAGCCATCAGGCGCCAACAGCAGACGGATCCTTCGGCGGATGGGTGTGGATAGACCTAGCCATTGCCTGAGCTTTGGATTTCGGCCGCATCCCAGCACCAGACCGTCCCAGGCCTCCGACCAAGACCTCGTGCCAGTGTTTAACGGCGGCGTCGCCGTGAAGGCTCCTGGGCCTGGGAGTAACGAAACTTGGCCAACGTGAGAGCCTGGACTTGTGAAATTAATGCTAGTTTAAACTAATGCTTATTACGCATATCTTGTGACTGAGTTTTGCGAGCGAGATCCAGTGGAAGGCCTTGCGATTGCCGGATGGCAGCCCTGGCAGCCCAAGCCGTGTGGTGGCCCCGGTGCAATTTGCCATGCAGGGAGTCGTGTTGGAATTCGACAGGCTCCATCGCAGGCTTCTAGGAGTCGACCTGCCACCTCCGCTCAGGCACCCACACAAGTGTGCAACAGAAGAGAGAAGAGCCATTGAAAGCGAATACAGGGAGCCTCTCCACACGGCGTTGGGGACCTGATGGAGCTGGACCTCTCCAAAGGTTCGCGCAAGGATGCCCAGGCCAAAGCCAAGGCGCCCGGGCCCCAACCACCGGCCTGGGCCCAAGCTCTAGCGATGCCCAATGAAGCAGTGGACCCTGGAGCTCGCTTGCAAGGTGCAGTTGGACAGGGCAAAGCTGGCCCCTCCCTGAGCATTGCACACCACGGAGTAGTTGGCATGGCACTCCAAGCTTTCCGTGTGATGAGAACCCCTGTTAAAACGCAGAATCAAAGCCGTAACGTGGAGAGGGACGGCAGTTGGTTTGCGAGGCCTTGTGCGCAGTCACATGCGGTAACGGCGAATGCCGCTAACACTCCGGCTCGAACGACGTTAGCTTTTCTCCCACAGCCGTTCATTCCTCGACGCTATGTCTGGAAGTGGCAGCGCCGTCCCCATCAAAGCCGCACCGCAGGGGAAGGCGCCGCCGCAACACCCTGGTGTGCCGGTGGCCGATCGCGGCAGCCATCACGCCGTGGCGGAGATGCGCGCCGTCTTACAGGTGGGATCAGGTGGGCCGACAAGGTGGATATCCCGCTTGGGCGGCGCTGGCGGCGGAGATGACGATGGAGGACAGGACGGCGTTCATGGAGTTTGCGGCAGGCTCCATCGACGACGCCGTCACCCGACGAGTTGGCGGATGTTGGCGGCCCACATGAACGGCCGCTTCCGTGCCGTGGTACAGCATTGGTCTTCCTGGATCCCCCTCTTCCTCTACGCCGACACCCAACAGAGTCACGAGGAGACACTGGCAGAGACCCTGCGACGCAACGTCGACAGATGCAGACGGAGTTTGCGACACGGCATCGGGCACTTTTCCACGACGGGCATGCCGCCACTTGGCGCCGTCAACCCACAGTCCCGCCGACATCCAGGCCTCCATCGTTATTGACACGACCATCGGCAACCCCGGCAGCCACAGCCCAGACTTCGCCGCTCTATCGCCCGAGTCGGAGTGAGGAGAGGGGAGCGACGACGTCATTCCGAGGCATCTTCGACCACACGGCGGGGGAGGTCCCAACTCAACGCTGGGCCCACGAGGACACTCGGCGAACGCCGCCCGGAGCGACGAAGCGCGGCGTGAAACTTTGGAGCGACAGCATCGGTCTTGAGTCTAAAAATTCAACAGGGGAGTCGCCGCACAACTGCTACTGGCGGCGGGCCACTATGTCGACGACTTCAACGGCCTCGACGATAACATCATGGGTGAGGCTGCGGCAGACTCCTTTCAGCCTTTCAGGACCCCTTCGCCGCCCGCGGCTTCCTGACCAAAGCATCCAAGGCACAACCCCCGGTGCCGGAGCACATGGTACAGGGGGTCACCTTCCACCTCGGCACCAACGGGATCATGTTGAGCCCAACGCCGATACGAGTGAAGAAGATCCTGGAGCAGCTGCACCGGGCCGTCGACGAGGACGCGCTTGCACCAGACGAAGCGGCGAAGTTGGCTGGGAGGGTGGCATTCCTCGCACAGGCGGTCTTTGGCTCCATGGCGAGGGCAGCCACCAAGGCGATGTATGATGATCTATGCATACCTATGCCAGTGCGACGGACACCGCCGAACGGACAGCTGACCATCTCTCGCCGGGCTTGTCGCCGGCCCTTCGGTCATTGATCAGGATATGCGCTTCATCCTCTACGACGCGGCGGACATGGACGTGGCCGGGCCACGTGCCAGAAGGGCGCAACCCAACGCCGCACCAACGAGCGACGAATGGATGGGGTTATGTACTCCGCCTCGGCAGGAAGGTCTATTACGCCGGCGTGGTGCCGGAGTGTTTCGTTAAACTGTTTTGGACGAGAAAGGCTTACATCTACATGCTCGAGGTCTTCCCCCAACTCGTTGCCTTCGTCACCTTCGCGACGCACCTGCCGCAGTCGATCATGGCGTTCATCGACAACACGGCGGGGCAGGCGGTGTTCTCCAAAGGCTACGGCAAAGACACAGTAATCAATGACATGATCTCGGCGTTCTGGTCGCTAGCCGCGTATCACGGATGGTTTGTCGAGTTCGAGGGGGTGCCATGCAAGGCCAACGTCGCCGATGCCGTGTCCAGGGACGATTGCGGCAGAGCACGATGTGAGGGATGGACCAGAGACCACAGCCCCCACGACGAGATCTTGCGCATCTTCGCCAACGCAGTCGGCGACTCGGCGATCTGGAGTTCGCCACCGCGGAGGCGGCCGACGAACTTCTCCTGGCAGCGCAAGGCTTCACGTGTTGAGCCGGCGCGGTGTGGGGAGGCGGTGCGCGCGGCGGGTGCAGACTGCCCCGGCCCCGGCTTGCCGTTTCAGCGTGTTTCGTCGTGTTACAGGGCTAACACCACACGACGAAGAGAAGTCTGTCGTGTGAGTACGGTTTTGGTTCAACATCGGTCGCAGTGCACCGCATGTTGTGTAGCACACGTGTGTGCGCAGTAACAGCCGTAACGGCGAACGCCGCTGGCACTCCGGCTCGAACGACGTTAGCTTTTCTCCCGCCCTCACCACCCAAAGCTGCCTTATCGATGGACAGCGAACGACAGCGGGCCGGGTGCAGAATGCGCCCCGGCACCGGTTTGCCGCCCCAGCCTGTTTCGTCGCCGAACGGCGTGTTACAGCACTAATACCACGCGACGAACAGAAGTGCGTCGTGTGAGTACGGTTTTGGCTCAATGTCGGTCGGAGTGCTCCGGCATGTTGTCTTTTGGCTCCACAGTAGCAAAACTATGGAGCTAAATTATATCAGGTCGCCGAACGGCAGGCCAGAGAAAAGCGCGAGTACGAGGAGAAGATCAAGAGGTGCGCATTCCAAATCCCAATCCTCTGCTTTGCTGTTCTTTCTCTTGCCGGTGAGCGGAGGCATGAAGAGCAGAAGAAAAGCTGCCCGATAGCAGAGCTGGCAGCATCCTCTGTAGCACGCAAAGCGGGCTTGGTTGGGCATCTAAGGAGATGCACAGTCCAAGAAGGAGAAGCTTGAGCTTAACGATGTCCTGTCTAAGGAGTTGAACGACTGGGCCTGGACCTCATACCTTTATGAAACGTAGAAAGGTTGAACCTGTACAACACCTTGCGGCCAAAAAGACATGAGCACTCCGAGTGTGAATTTGGAGTCCTGAACGACGGCTTTCTGATTACCTGGCGAGGGTTAGATTTCTGATGATTATTGTATATGGCCGCGCAAGAAGCCGACGCACATGATGACCGAAGAGATCGCCGTTGGTCTGTGGCGAAAATTGTTGTACGAAGCTACCGTCAGCCTCCAATTATGTCTGAGCAAGGCTTTAATGTGACGGGCAAAGGTCGGTTTTCAGAGGCCAGGTGTTGGCTCGGCCGTCGGCTGTTGGATGTCAGCCGCACGAGCAGTCTTTTGCTGGTTCAAGGTTGCTTTTCGTGGACATTGTGCCAAGAAGCTGATGGGTTTCTGGACCAACCCTCGTTCGAGCGAACATATTAGCGGTATTAGTGGTTGAGAAAGGGCCTGCCTGCCTGAAGGTCCGGATGTGCTCTTATCTTGTGTTGTGAGCAGGGCCGAAGGGGCCTGTCGAAGCCCTTCCACAGACCTGCCTTTCACTTGTCTCGGCCAAAGGAGTCACCTGAGACGGGTTGCGTAGATTCCGGCGGTTATCGAGCCACATTGACGGGCGATTCCCACGAAGATCAGGCAAAGACACCCGACGGCCAGTCCTACAAGGAGATCAGGAGCCATGCCCTTCTTGAGCGGCTTTCGATCCTCGGCATGAGTTCTTACAGCTGCAGTCAGCTAAAGGACTCTGCTGAGCACCATGCACTCCGTAACTTGGGAGGGTGCAAGTCTTCAGCTCGGTGCCAGCCACGCCTGAGTCCATGGGTCTGTCGGATCATGGTCCGCTCAGGTTGGCAGCCCCTCAACCTATCGGAGTCGACCTGCCGCTTTTAATAATCTGCTTTTTGCTCTCTTGGCCACTGTCTTCACTTTCACAGGTTAGTGGCAGACAGCAACATCAAGAAGTATTACCGCAAAGCTATCCTCATGGCTTTTCACTCAGCCTTCGAAGCACTTTGTCACTTCTGGTAGCTGGTATGTGTGCAAGGGTACTGCAGTCTTTGCGTAAGAACAGGCTCATCCAGATCGCCATCAGTCCGTCAGCTCCCAAAACTGCGAGAAACTCTCGTTCGAACCTTGCGGCCATGTCATACGCCGGGTATTTGCTGTTACTCAGAGGAGTTTCGGAGTTCAAAATGCCCCGTCTCAGTCTCTCTACCTTCAGGCCAGTTCGGAGCAGCAGGTCCGAGCAGATCGCATCTTCAATGCCATGTGCTTACCCGTGGTTACATGTGAAGCGAATCTGTAAGTGACGGCCTTGAGGTGGTCACAAGTCACGGTGTTTGTTGCCTTGCTAGTGCTGGTGGCGGAGCTATTTTTGGCCAGTGCGATTGCTATTGCCACTGCTCACGTTGGCTCAGGCTTTGAACGAGTCCTTCAAGTCTTTTACAAGCTCCTGACATGAATGCAAAATGGTTACCTACTGCCATGCTTCTTTGCTTGTGATGACAGCTTGCCGGATCTTAAGAAAGTCTTGTGTGGGCACATTGCTCTGCTCAAGCGGTAGAGTGCCATCATCATCGTCCGGGCAGCTGAAAGGACAGCTCTTGATTGCCTGGCTTCTTTGCCTACCAGTAGCAGTTTTTGTAGGTTAGGACATGCCTGCATAGGATCCACAAGCAAGACCCATCATGGACATCGACCTGCTCAATCCCGATGTCAAGGAGGAAACTAGCGTTTTGGTGGGGTGTGTCTGTCAGAGACATCGTAGACTTTGGGAGATGCTCTGCCAGGAGAGGTCCAAGCACAAGCTGAAGCGCATGATCCAGTCTCCGAGTCGCGGCATGACCTGTGGAGACGAGCGAAGACTTTTGTTTATTTCCCGCACGTTTGTTTTTCTGATCCCGACGGTCTTGTGTTACAAGGAACAGCTTCTTCATGGACGTGAAATGCCCTGGGTGCTTGCAGATTACTACTGCCGCTCGGCTGCAGGGCTGCCACGGAATTGTAACGCCACTCTGTGTGTGACTCACCTAGGTCTTCAGCCACGCTCAGACCGTCGTGTTGTGCGGCAATTGCAACGTGATGTTTCTTGGCAAGAGAGCATCATGTAGCGACTGCAAGGCACTCGTGTAACTTCTCGGATCGTTCAGCGATGAGGCTTTGCCAGCCCACAGGTGGTCTTGCCCGGCTTACAGAGACTTGGCAGGGTGCTGGCTTTTTCGAATGTCGCGGTGGTTCTCCGGTATTGCTGCAGCAAGTGCTATTTCGATCTTCAGCGACACATCAGGAGGGCTGCTCGTTCCGAAAGAAGACTGACTGATGAGATGTCTCACTGTTTAGATGGTTGAGCTGATGGGATCAACGATGGTGCAGGACAAACAGACAGGCAAGCGTGCAGCAGGGGCTGGGTTGTCTTGACATCCTTCTTTTGAGATCTGCGATTGGGCAGTTTGTGTGCGTGTATGCATGCATACAGATATCTGTATATGAATATGTTTATGTATATGTTTTTGAGTGGACGTCCATGTGTGGGACAGAGGTTTGCCAACCCCTTCTTTTCAAAGGTTTGTGGCTGCAGAGTTGTTCAGCCGCAAGCTAGTGGGGAATTGCAATGTTTGTGATTTTGTCTGTCCTGAAGCTATAGGGGAATAGGACTTTACAAGGGCTCCAAGCTATTCTGGGAGTTGCACTCCGCGAGTCATTGTTTTGTGTCAGTAAACAGGTTCTTTCTGCTGCTACCTTTGCAGCAAGCAGAGCATACGGGGTCAGGGCAAGAGGGCTCCGAAAGTTAGACAATGGATTTGAGACTTCTTCTTGCGACGACTTTCGCCAGAAGAGCCAGCCCTCTTGTAATGCAGCTCCCTTGAGGGTTCAGGTTGCCGAAGATGTACTGATAAACGGTTAGATGCAACTATGAAGCCCAACCCGACAAAATGGTTCAGAGATTTGTCAGATGTAGGACTTGGGTGGACTTGGGTGTGGGCTGCACTCCCGAGCGACTTCTCGACAACCTCTTCAGGCACCCTTATCCTCACCCCCCCCCCCACCTGAGACTCCTAAAGGCGGTTAGTCCAAGTCATGGCAATGACCAGATTTTGACTGGTAGCTATGTTGGGAAGCGGAAGGAGTTTTCAATGATACAATTCTAGTCTTAACAGCAGTGAAGCTTTGGGCTCAATGTCGATTGGGTGATTAGCGCGCCTGCCGTGTTGGTGATCCGGCCCGGTCTCTTACAAGAGCTCCTCATCCGGCTCTGACCTGCGTTCTTGGTGCATCAATACTGGTCGGCCTAAGCATGCATGTTGTTGGATTTAGCGAATTTTACAGACAGCCGTGGCCCCTGAAGAGCGACGTCTTACGCACGAGGCAGCTTGCAGTCCCGGTTGATCGGTGGCCACACCTACCTTGCGGCATTCCTTGCAGAGTTCTGCATTTCAAACTGTTTGTAAGTTTGCTAAAGCAAGAGGATTCTTGTTAGACTTCTCGCTCAAAGCTTGAAACTTCTGTAACATGTTCTGACACAGTCGTGCAATATATTATTCTGATATGTGGAAGATTATGTATCGACATTCTAAGATTTGGCAGACAGAACTATGGCATTCCAGTGTGTTGATTTGTTGAAGGCCACGCTTTGCTCCCGTAAAAGCCGTCGTACATTTTTGGCCCCGTGATTTTGAGTGTAAGTCTTAAATTGCTTGCGTTGCCGAGCTGGCTGTCTCGCGGATCTTATAAGCAAAAATCAGATGAACTACAATGACGACGTTGGATAAGAAACTATTGTATCCGAGGNNTCTCGTTCATGTCTGATGCCATCCAGGGCTCAACATGGACGAAGAGCCCGGAGCGGTTATGCTGCAGAATCTTCTTAGGCCAGCCAGGAAATAAGAAATCTAGCCCCTGAGTTTCTTATTTCTTTTGGACCGGCCGAAAACTAGCCCTTGAAATTTCTTATTCCTTGTGTTGTTGGGCCGGCCGAAAATTAAGGAAATAAGAAATTCAAATCCTGACATTTCTTATTTCTTGTATTTTTGGTCCGGCCGGAAAAGGAAATAAGAAATTTAGCTTCAATTTTCTACTTATTGCCTTCGGGCGAATTCCGAAACTCTCGTCGATATATTATAGGAAAGCTATCTAAATGACCGGATATTATTATTAGCTCTATTACTTGCTTTTAAATTCGAGTTCCGAAACTTTCGCCGATTTGTTACAGGTTTTTATTTGATACTTTATCCCACAGCCCTGAGTATTTTTTGTGTTGGGGGTAGCGTTAAAGAAATTTGGTTTTGGGGGTAGGAGAATCTGAATTTCTTATTTCTTTTTGTCTGTTTTTCGGAGATTTTACTATAGATCCATATAAATTCAGGGGCTGGTTTTTCTATGTAATGATTCTTATTTAATATCGATTTCACCTTTTTTTCTCTATCTTCTCATCTTTTGTTATACCAATAAATGATTATTTGAAATTTAATTCTATAAAATATAGAAATATAGTATTATTTTATATGATTTTAAAAGTGAGAGAATATATATTTATTAATTAATCATTCGGTTCTCGATGATATTTTCTATAATTAATTTGAAAAAGAAAATTGGTTTTATAAAGAAAATGAAATTTCTTATTTCTGAAAATATTTTAATTTTTTTTATATATATTTTTTCATATTTGTTCAATTCGATTATAGATATTATTTGATTCTTATAAATAATAAGATTTGATTGTAGATTAAATAATTTTGAATATATTTTATATTGAATAAAGATAGATATTATATATATTGAGAAAATAATTTCTTTTTTTTGATGGAGGTATTAAATATAATGATATAGAGTGAATTGTCATAAATAGTATGATACTTATTTTTGGGGTCGTCGTGATTGTGACTCTCTATGGTATGTTCTATTGAGTTATTTTAGTGGAATCTCGTTATTTCTGTATTCGAGTAAGGTTTTGGAAGAGATTAGTTAAAAGAATCGTTGGATAAAAAAGATTATATAAAATGATTTGATTATTAAATTGAGTTTCGGAGCGCCGTGAAAGAATAATGGGCTGAATTATAGAGATTTAAGAATAAGGACCGCGTATAGACGATTTGATAATATATAAGAAGAAGTGTCGATAGAAATTAGTATTGTGATTTTATGAGTGAAAGATTTCATTAACTAATTTGTAGAAATATTAGGAGAATGGTCTTTAAAATATATATTTTATATATGATGTATTCAAGGAGAAATATATAATTTCTTAATTTTCTCTATAGACGGTAGTAGTATTTATAGAGCAAAGGCGCGGTGACCAAGGTTCGGATTACCGGCTTCCGAGAGCGTAAGGGATGTGTGTGCGCCTACTGTAAAAACCGGCTCTCGTTGTCCGCAAGCAAAGGCGCGACGACAAAGGTTCGGATTGCCGGCTT